ACAATATCTTTATGATGTTATTTAATCCTCTTTCTATAGTCAGAGGGTCGAAGGGCATGTCATCATGTTTGTTGACTTGCATTTGTAAGTGTATTCATCTACTACTCTATGAATGTACAATAAATTTGATATCAAATTGTAGATTATAATTCAAATTTCAGCATTATACATTAGTTAATTTATTAATTAAAAAATAAATATTAAAACAAAATTCCTAAATATTTTTTGTATATCACATGGTATGTTGAATACAGCTTTGGTTCAAAGTATATTTGCAATGTCCAAATACAAAGTCTATAGTTTCTTATGATTTAGAAACTCAAATTACTGATATTAACAACCTAGAATATAAAATAACCAATCTTTTCTATGTGCCAAGATATTGCTACATTTAGTGAAACAGTGTCCCCACCCATTTTTTTCCATTTTTGGAAATACTTGCTTATGAACACCTGCTTCTGTTTATGATGTGTGAATAACCAATCAAAAGCTCAGAATGTCTCACTGGTGATTTTCTCAGTCTTTAGAAGGTAGGAAGTTCCCAAGATTATTTCTGTCTTGAATTCCCAAAGAAAATGTAAGTGAAAGTTGTCCTAAATTCAATTTTTTACTAAAATACAGTTTAGTTAGTAAGCCTGATAAATTTTGCAATACTGATAGAGTAATATTTGGTTATTTCAAAATGCATAGATAAAACCTGGAAAAAAAGTTTCACGTCCTCCAAATGCAAAATTTGACAAAGCTTACTACATAAGGGCAAGCGGACAAACAAGTACAATGTTTGTAACCAGAAAAAAAAAAAAAAAAATCTGTTTTCTATATTTACTGTTATGTGTTCAAATATACTATTGAATATGGTAACATGACTAAGTGCACAATTGCAACTTTTGTAACATTAGTTACACCTGGCTGAAAGATCAATGAAATAGAAAAAATATAGATGTATAAATGTTAGAAAATTTAGGCCATTTAGACTAAACATTTGTGGTTTGTTATAATTGGTAGTCATTCTAGAATGAAGAAAAAAAGTAACTTATACCAATTTTCTAATTTCAGGTTGGTGAAGTCTACCAAAACCATACAGAGATAAAACATTGAAGACAACAGATAAAATTTTTTTCAAAAAAAAAAAATTACATAATTATCTTGAGATTATAAAGATTTTGTATGTGAAATTTGACAATTTTCTGATACATGAAAGTATTTTTAATCATAAAATCAAAATTACTTTATATGTTGGATAGTCAACATTCAAAAAGAAAAAATGCAAGAGCAAATCGTTATTTATTATAAAGCAAAGGCACCTCACTGTAAATTACCTACGGGACTTTCATCTTAATGTTTACCAATAATCTGCAAGATTTCATGATGATAAGCTTCCTGTATTAAAAGTTAGTTTGAAAACTATACAAGCACAAAGTGGTTAGGAAGTTAGTTTCTGGTATCAAGCCCATAGCAAGAAAGTTAACTAGAAAGTCCAAATACCCAATTTCAAATATTTCCGAATCGGTTTTTTTTTTTTTTTTTTTACATATGAATGTTTGTATAATTCACTTATACAAACTTTGAAAAAGTGGAAGGTTCTTAATTTTAAGACCCAAGGAAGTTAAATTCTGTAATAAAATAATTTACATATTAAACTTACGATGCTATAAACATGCTCGCTGTTCCAACCAGTTGCAACTTGCTCCGTAATACTGACATACAGGAAAGGAATCTGTCAATATAGGATACAGCTAGGTACAAAGTTTCTGTGTGCAACTTATACTCCTCTGCCACTTCTACCAACCAATCCACCAAAATACTCCTCATCCCATGGGTAATATCTGGTTGTTTTCGCATGTAGTTAGGCTTAGGACAAAACTTTTTCTGAAATACATAGTGATCAAGTTTCCAAATTAACATTTTCTTATTACCATGATACAAAACTGACATGAATAAAGTGATTTATGAATGCTTCTCTTGATTACTTTAAATAACATGGTATGTGAAGAAAATTTATTAAGTGCTAAATCAAGTAATATATAAAAAAGACCTAATATAAAAACTGTGGGTACATCACGATCCCATGGTGCTACTCAAAGAATTATGTTCTCATCAGTAAGAATAATCTATTTTTCTACATAAACTAGAAAATTAAAACAATACTACCAATGTTTGTTTATTAGTCAAAATATGAAAGCCATTTTTTTTTTTTGTAGGTTGATATTTATGGTTTCCCCACCAGGTATTATATGCAAGACCATCACAAATTCTCTTTAAAATTAAAATATACATTCAGAAGATCCCTGCCCAATAACTACTAGGAAATAAAACCATGCAACTCTCATAAAACTACATTTACCTACCTCAAAATCTAACAGATGGTGATAGATATCGTGGGCATATTCAGGTACAAATAGGATATTCCTAGCCATCAATTTTTCAGTATCATGCACATCTTCACTCATACAGGTTGTGTCCAAAACCATAGGTGAATCTAACAAAAGAACATTCTTAAATAATTACATATTACACAAAAAAAATTATATTAGTTTAAAGAACATTACAAGACTTAACTATCATGACTCATCACGAATCTTTCAAAAAATCCTTTGGTCATACAAATTTCTGATGAAATATTACAGTATTATATGGAGTGAAAATGTATTTTACAAATTAACTTTAAAACAACTCATTGCAAGTTTGAGACACATGTTAGAATAGCCTTTAAAATAAAGCTAATGTATAATATGGTGTGTTAAAAAAGTTCTGGTTATCCTGGTTTCCACAGGGATAAATAAACGTTCATCACATCAAATGTCATTTTATCATATACAAAATTCAATATCACTAATCATTATAAAGCAAAAGCACCTCAATGTAGATTACCTATGGGACTTTCATCCATGTGGTAAGGAGAACAAGTCTCTATAGTTGCAAGTGGAGCTCTGTGGAGACTGACAACTTCACCAGGCAAGTCCACATTCTCAGCTACTTCTTGGTCTTCTTCTGGTTCATCATAATAAATTTTGAAATCTTGAGCCTTTTTTGGCATACATATCCTGTTCTTTGAAACTTCATACTTTGATGTATTAATGGATGAAAAAGATGGTTTGGTTGTAAAAACATCACAGGTTGCAGTTTCTGGCCAGTGTTCTAGTTCTTTAAGATTCTGATAGATACAAATGTTTACACAAATTTTCATATTATATACAAACCAAAATTAATTGTTCACAAACAAATGTATTTCTTGCACCATCATATCTGATAAAGTTTACTGACTAGGTCTTTATTAACAAATAAAGTATTTTTAGAAACTGCAAGAGTTCAGATTTTGAAGTTCGTAGATAAATTCTGTTGAGTACAAAGTTCAACTACAACTGGTTGTAATGAATAATAATAATAAAAATCAGGTTGCAATATTACTAAAAATTAAACAATTACTATTAATACACCTTAGATGCTAAATATAACTAAAAACAAATAATTGTCTTAACTCATTCTGTACAATCAGATTGAAATGCACATTTCATGACCTTTTCTATGGTTACATTCAAACTTTATTTTTTCTTCTTTTTATCAATATATGTCAATAAACTTCTCAGGAAAGTGTAGTTTATAATTTAAATTATTATATCCTCCAAGTTTTATCTTAATTTAAAATAAAATTGCAACCTCCACTTTTCTGTCACGACATGTACGAGTTTAGATTTGTAATTAAAAGTAATTATGATTTTAATCTTCTACCTTCATTTGCTAAGGTAAATTTGTCAAACTCACCTTTTAAAAGCAACAACCCATTATTGTGGTAAAATGTAAATAAAAACATTTCCAATACTATTGATCAGCCCCAACCAGCAGTGGGTATAGCAAGTTTATCTTGTTCTTGTAGAAGTCAAACATTTGTGACACTCAGATATTATCTGCTTTTACAAAATGCAGAGCAAATACTGTTCTTACATTAAACTCCAAATATAAATCTCTGAAATTCTGTTGAGAATGTGCTTTCAATAAATCATAAGCTTCATACAATATACTAATGTGTAGACTTAAAGAACAAAAAATAATAATTATGCCCAGTAAGTAAAAAAAAACAAACTTAAGTTCCTTTCAAAAGGTGGGGTTATGTAGACAGAGTGCTTAATAGACTTAATGCAGCCTATATATATAAAAACTTTACTTGCCATTCTGAAAGTACTTCAATTCATTAAGTTGAATAAAATTGAACAAAGCAGGATCATATGGTTTAAAAAAATCCAAAACATCATTGAGTTCTTAATTATCACTGTTCATACTTAATTAGTACATTTTATGTACTTTAGATAGCATAATATTGTCTGTTTGCATTTACTTAATTTCACAACAATATTTTATATACTCAAAGTTCATCTTATTAGGCAGACAGGTTATTTGGAACTTTTTGTATAAGTCTCAAATTAGTTAGCAAGTGCCTTGTTGCCCTGAAGAATCCGTAATAGCAAAACATTGGCTTAAGTAAAAACAGGTATGTTTTGTGAAGTAACAGATCATGTTTTAATTATTTTTCAACAATGACAAGTCATTGAGAACATTACAAAAAATGTGTATACACGATGCTGTCTTTGACATATAAATCAAAACACTCACAAAAATGGTCAAATTTAATATTGGCAATATTAGAACCCATAATTAGAGAGAGAGAGAGAGAGAGAGAGAGAGAGTGTGTGTGTGTGTGTGTGTGTACACGCACGCACACATAGTGAAATAATTCACAAGTTATCACAACAGTATTTTCCTGTAAGTATAATGCTAATTCTGCAGCAAGAAGTACAATGCTACCACCATTCTTGATGCTACTGTAAAGACTTTCAAATATATCATGTTTGCTGAATGTAAAAATACATTTTACCAAGTTAAAAAAAAGCTAAGGCACCTGAAACATTTATATTTACCCCTTAGGTAAACATTTTAATTTTTTGTTAAACTTATATTATGTATATCTTTAGATGTTACTGGTCAGGTAGAAATAGCCATGGCTAGATCTGGGCAATTTAATTGATAACCTACGAGCAGCAATTATATCAAATAGTGTCATGTAAGCTAAATGAATTAAACAAAGTTGTTTCCAAAATGAACATCAAATTATGGCTGAATTGACGACTGCCACAAAAATAATCAACTAATCAAAATTAGGGTTTCTGATCATTCCAGATATTTAATGAAATGAAATATTGCTATTATCTTTGTTGTAATAACAAACATACATAATGGGCTATCTGCACTTTGCCAAATTTTAGAATTTTTTTTCAACTTCATGTTTGTTCAGATTTAGTGTTTTAACTTTCATAATGATTCCAGGTTCAATTGCAATTGCCACTAGACTTGCTCATCCCATCTTTGTTATGGCAAAGCTACTAAGGCTATCTATCACCATCACTAATTCTGGACTACAGGGAAGGCAACTGACTGGCATCTCCCACCTCCAACTTACTTTCCCATTTCATGTTTGTACCATGATTTCAAGTACACTTTAGTAATTGTTTAATCTAAGATAAGTTGATTAATGGGGCCCACTGATTAATCAATTAGTAAATACCATTAATCTTAGTTCTATCCAGGGCTTAGCACAAGTTATGTATGGGACTGAAAATAAAAATTGTCACATACACAAAACACATTATATAAATTGAAGTAAAAACTGGAAAGAATTGGTTTTCTAACAGTCCTCCATTGACCATTCTTTTTAATCTATTGAATGCTGATTTAGCTATAATTACAAATTTAAAAAGTTAAAGTAGCTTTAACCCTTTCCAGATGGGTCACAGGTGAAAGACCATGTCATCGCATTTGCTGACTTGCATTCAAAATTTTATTGAACAATTATTTCATGAATTTATGTCAATATGTTTGATATTAAACTGTAAATAATTCAAATTTTAGTATTACACATTACTCAGTTTAAAACTAAATATCAAAAAACATAGATAAACATCAATTTAGGATATAAAATAAGAACCCTTCCATGTGCAAAATTTTAAAAGGGCTTAGCAACCTCCATCAAGCAGTAACCAAGTACAAAGGTCATAACTAAAAGAAAAATTTGTTTGCTCTACTTTATTTACTGTTATATGTTCTAAGAAAAACAAGTTTAAGGACTTATTTCTAAATAGCAATAATCTATATACATATATAATGTATACTAATGGAAATGTGACTGTATTTTGCAAAATACTAGTTTATTAAAACACAGCCAAGACAGGTCACTTTGTAAAAATAAAAGGTCAGTTTTATATTATTGGATACGGTAATATCTGTGCACATTTGCTGTGTCAGTGTAACTTCTGTATTGCTAGCCTGGAAAACAACAGATAGTTTATTCCTTAGAAATGTTCGATAACTATCTGGACATTATAAAGATTTCGCATGTGAAATTTGAAAATGATCTGATGCATAAAAGTATTTTTAATCATAAAATTGTTTTCCACTTACCTCAACAAATCTGTTTCAGTATAATTTTATTTTGCCAAGTACAACATAATTTGTAAACCCATACTGTGAAGAAGTTAGTTAATAGAAAATTTCTAAAATCTTTTTTTAAAAAGTTAGAAATCACCTAAATACTACACAATTTGTTCAAAAAAAAAAAAAAAAACATTACTCACTTCTTGTTTCATTTTAGGAATATTTTCAACACTGCACACTACAGTTGATAAAGCTGGTCTAATGCCAATTCTTGTTGCTTGTGTCGATGGCCATTTGGCTTGAAGACCTTTCATGGCTAGTTGGTTACTCTTACTAGGCGGTTTATTTTCTTCATCAATTTCAGCAGGGAAAGCATTTTTATTGTGCTTTACCTTGAGTGAGACTCCAGCCCTTACATCGTATTTACTTGTCATTGTTAATTTGTATTTTATATTTTAAGCCCTATTTTTCTTTCAATACTATGGTAGCCTATCAAATTCGGTCAGTCAACTATGAACTTGTTTGAAGTTTGAGCTGCTGATAGTGCTAGTCTCCAAGTCTTAATTAAGTTTAAAAGTTAAACAAATCGTGAGCCTCAACGTTTTACTTTTAAGTTGATCTCTTTCTTAGTCTTAATTTCATAAATTTAACCTAGCAAGTTATTGTTTAACAAGCGAACTTTTCCCAATGATAAGACTATTATTATTTAGTATTAACTTGCTTGGACAGTGATAAGAATTCTCATTAATGATTAAATTAATGGCATATAATGTTCAACACTGTTATTGTATAAATACACGATATAATAGGTTATAGTAGTAGCAGGCTACATTAATAATAGCACTTAGTTTAATCAAATTTCTTCGTTAAAGAGGCCTAACAGTAACATAATGGGAATTGAGGAAATTAACTTTACGTTTTGCAGTAACACCTAACTATGAAACACTAAAAATAAAACAGTAAGTTCAGTAACGATTATGCATAACCATAATCGTTACAAAGTCCATGAATCTCACTCGGTGGGTAGCTATTGTTCAGCTAGTACTAGTAAGTGCAACTGCAAGTCTGAATATCTTCAAATCTTGTAAATGCTCCTTTCTTTGATCCTGAAAAATTGAAAAAAATACTATGGCAGATTTTCGATATTCGAATGTTAATAACTCTTCAAACAATGAATTAAAAATCATTTGTTAAATGCAGATAAGAAAAACCAACCGAAATCTTTACAACGTTTAAAACAAGGCCTAAGCTACAAACATAATAACTGCTCGATTCTACTGGGTAAACGTTAAAAGCCCCGCGGATCTATGAATCAGCCAATCACAAGTCTTTCTTCTTTGACAGCAGCAGCACCACGTGACGCTTAAAATCATTGCTAAAAATTTTATATGATGCAATTATTTAAAATTTCGTCAGAGAAAAATTATATATGTAAATATATGGATCAGTATAATTGTAGTTCTACTTATTTTATTAATTTTAAACATTAATAACTTTTTGAATGTCAAACTTTAATAGATAGGGCAGAAACATTCCAGGTGGTAATCACGTGATATTAATATGCATAAACAATAAATCAAACTTGCCCAATAAAAATATTATACACAACTGATAGTTTAGGATCGTGGTATGTTTTAAACAGCTCAATTTATGTAATGGAGATACAACGTATTAACAAAATTGCAAAATAGAATCTGAAAACAATACTTCATTAAATGAATCTGCAGAAACTAAAAATAAATGAGTAGATTCTTATTTAAATAATTGAAAAAGTTAACGTAAGACATATAATGCTGTAACAATTTCACAAGTCAGTTGAAAAAAAAATGCATATAGAAACAGATAAGGATTGTTTTATAATCACAGTCGACTCATTTGCTTCAACAAGGAATATATTAAAAATTTATTTTAAGTAGCGTTACTCGTACAACATGAAATATTACGCATCTAGAAGTAGAATTTTTCACCAGTCCGACAGTCCGAACATATTTCAGTGATCACCAACGTAGTGAAAACTTGAACAAGCTTGAATCAAAATGTCAAATAAAACAATGTTGCAGAATTACGATACCAACACACCACTTTCATGTGTTACACCCTTTAAGGTAATATAATATACGGACAATATGAGACTATTTGGTTCTTCAAGGCTGTTCCTGTACACCCACCACTGATCTATATACTGAACTGGACTGAGCATGACCGTGGGCATATTTCAAAATTCAACGATACTATTGTTTGTTTGTTTTTGAATTTCGCGCAAAGCTACACGACCGGCTATCTGCGCTAGCCGTCCCTAATTTTGCAGTGTAAGACTAGAGGGAAGGCAGCTAGTCATCACCACCCACCGCCAACTCTTGGGCTACTCTTTTACCAACGAATAGTGGGATTGACCGTCACATTATAACGCCCCACGGCTGAAAGGGCGAGCATGTTTGGTGTGACAGGGATTCGAACCCTCAGATTGCGAGTCGAGTGCCCTAACCACCTGGCCATGCCGGGCCCATGTGTAAAACTATTCTGAATTTGTTCACAATGTCAAGTCTATCTTTGAATCACATGTTTTGTTTTTTCTAGTTTTAATATTAAACTCAATATTCGACATTAATTGAAGGAAGCTAACAATCTTCACTTATTTATTTCAGTACATTATTTGTGATATTTGAACTGAAGTAATAGAAAAACAAAACGGTTCTTTCGGTATGTCTGTCAGTTTGCCATAAGAAATTCATGACGATGATGATGCGGAACCCACTTGAAATATATAAATATATAGTAGAGACGGCTGATATGGGTATTAAAACTTTTACTTAAAAAACAAACTAAGTGTTTGAAATAAAAGTTTTTAATACCCATATCAGTCGTCTCTACTATATATACAAGTAAAGAAAAAACTTAAAAAAAAATGCAAACAAGATAGTAGGGATGGCATTTGCATCATCCCTACATAATAGCACAGGCACACAGTACAGTAGAATGTTAACAGACAAAAATAGGATAAATCTTGTTTGCATTGTTTTTGAAGGATTGATATTAGCCATCCCTACATTTACATCCATTTTTGGAAAGTTTTTTTTTCTTTAATTGTTTGCTTGTTTTATTTTATGCAGTGTTTCAATAGACATAGGATGGTTGTATTTATAGGCACGTTTTAAATATAATGAGGTTTCAACTGTAATATTTATTGTTTATATATTATTGTCTGGTAATTCCCGTTTCACCATGTATTTAAGCTATTTAAAGGAACACCAAATTTCTGTAAGAAAGCTAGCTTCAAGGGGTGATGATAACATCGTTTACGCTAGAATTACGAATTTTTTTATAATTACTACTAGTTATTAATAATACTTATAAAAGCGGATACTCCTTTTGAAACTCTGAAATTGGTTGACACCATTGTTTTTGTTTCGGATTTATCATGTAATAAAAAAGAAGCTGAAGAAAGAAGAACAAGAAATTCAAACTTGTTGTTATGATATTTACAGACATTCACAGAACTTGTAACTCAATCATTACATAGATATTGCTATAAAACGAAACACTGTATAGTATTGTAAAGTTCTGATGATCTATTGAGGAGATACTTAAAATACAATTTCGATGAACAATCCGAGTCATCCCTACATAGACAGTGCTGCCGTCTGCCTGATATTTACCTCAATAAATTGTTTATACGCATTATTTTCATAATTTTAAATTAATAAAATTAGAATTGCTTTCCTTATTTATGCATGGTTACACAGATTTATCTGGCTATAAATTAAACGACTGCTTTACATTTATATTTAAAGCACATAAGTTCAGATGTTTTACTGACTGTATGTAGTTATATTATTTCGAGAGTTTTTGTCCTGTTGTTTTGACCAGAGGAAAGGCAGCTAGTCAACACTACCAACCCCCAACTCTTGAGCTACTTATTTACCAACAAATAGTGGGATTTACCGTCACATTATAACGCCCTAAGGCTGAAAGGCGAGCATGCTCAGTAACGGGGGTTCGAACCTTCGACTCGCAGATTGCGAGTAGAGCGTCCTAATCACCAGACTATTTCGAATGTAAAAATAGTTAAGCCTCCAACACGTTACTGGAAAAACCTAAGCTTTGCACACGAAAGTTCGTTCTCATTTTTATTTAAAACTGGAATGTTCTTTGCTCTGACTGTTTTAACATGAATAAAATATTTGTGGGAAACCTTTGAATTCAGAAGCCCATCAAACACTAAATAATGTAAGCCATCTTCTAAATAACTTCGTTAATACTACAAACAAATTTCCTTTTCAATTTTTACTAATCAAGTTTTAGCCAAAATCATATATCTTTTAAGTGAAGATAAACAGTTAAATAACCGCTTATTGGCTATTATGAAAACAATTTTGAATTGTTCGTATTGTTTAAAGCCCTGTTAAAAATGTCTGCCGAACTTAATTATCTTAACAGGCCGCATTAGCGCCCCTGCGTGTACAAATACATATTAGCCTCCTATTTGTCGATTGGTTAAAATCTATTATAATATTACTTTTAGACCCTTGTTTGAAATGTTGGCGTGCACTTGTTTATCTTAGCAACCATACTAGCGCCATCACGTGTACAAAAGGAGTACTCGGATTTCAGAGCGTTCAGTGACCCGGATGAGAGAGCAGAAGAGTTGATGGATGCCCAATGTGAAATGGTTTAATATTATGAGAATACGTAAACCATATACGGTGACCCGATTTTAACTTTCCTCTACAGCTGTGGATATAATATGGCTACGAACGCAACAAGTAAGTGTTTTCTTTTAACATAGATTAATTCGTGTTGCCGTTAAAGTCTTGTTTTCGTTTCAAATCCGTGCCACTTGCTATCCGAGATGCTAGCTCGGCATGCGTTAGTGTTGCCCACAAACGCTCGATGACTTTTACTGCTTTACGTAAGGATACAAGAATACGTATTAAACTATTCGTACGACGTTAGCAAATTGAGAGTATGATACGCGTTTTAAGGTTAAAGTAAAGAACATTTCACACGAAATTTACACACCTTCATTGCTTATAGAATATCATTTATTTTAATTAAACGTTATAGAATTTTAGTTTGTTTATAACCTGTAGAGTGAATTAATGAGTAACGTATATTACTTTACTGTAAAAAGTATAAATTAGTGTTAGTGTTAAGAGAACATTATTCAATATTGTGATCGTCAAACATATGGACATTTAAACTTACTTTACAAAATAATAGCAGGTGATAGGTAGGGATATAATAATTTTAAAAATATTTTAAACAGATTCTAAGAGACGTACTTAACCGTACCCCTTGAACGTCTAAAATTAACAGTTTACACAGCATAGCATCTGTCTCTGTACAAGGCCTTAGTGTAGGCCTAAGCTTGTAGCGGAAACGTTATAAAAGTGAAATTTCTTCGCAACTTATCGAGTCCAGTAACCCTTTCGTTAAATTGATTCATTACAATTTTATAAACTTAGGTTCTAAACTTTTATCTTCTACTTGATTTTGATTTCCGAATAAGATGCTTTTGTTCTACAAAACTTCATTTTTACAGTGGAGTAGGAATGGGGGCAACGTATCTCTTAGCCCTCGTAATATTTCAGATTATTTCAAAAACTTTTTGTGTTTCTGAGAGAGAGAGAGAGAAACGATCTCGTGGTGGCTCTCGAGCTATATAATAACTATAATTTGTATAAAGTGGGGGAGGCGTTGCCGCTCGCTGACCGCCAGTCTGCACGTGTAAATTGTGGCAGTAGGCTCACGTGCTGTAGGGCGCGTGTTACACACGGTCACTGTTGCCCTCCTTTTCAACTACCAATATGTGAAAAACATTAAGTTATATTTTATTTCCGATTTCAAAGTCATCGTTAAATGACCCATGACTATTGGTGTCATGTAAAAAAAAAAAAAGGAAAAATGATGCTTTTAATACGATGAGTATTAATAATAATAATACAAAACATTCAAAATTACACGTGTTTTATAACTAGTATATGGGAACAAGTATGATTCAATACGAGCAGTTTCTGGAATTGTTGTGAGAAATTGTTATGATATTTGTTAAAATGTAGGAGACAAAATGAAGTCCTAATTTGCCTAGGTAGGAATCATTCATAGATACAGCAGCTTAAAGCTTCCAGTTGAATAATTAGTTATATTACGATGAATCATTTACATCGCTGGCTTTGTGCCGAAGCTCGGAAAGTTTTTCTTCGTGCATCAATATTCGTCTCACGTCTTGAGTTTTCTTCAACTTGAGATAAAAA